AGCCACAAATCATTGGAAAAACACAGTGTTTCGCGGCTTTCCTACCTTTTCGCACACCTGGATCTGCTTTCTTCAGAGGCTTTCCCTTTTTGATCTTCTTTCTTCTTCTCTTCTCTTCTCTGACTCTTCCCATCTCTGCGACTCTTCCCATCTCTGCTTTTCATCTGTCCATATTGTCGGAAGTTTGACTTCTAAACTTCCTTCGACAATACATATGATAGAGATGTATAAATAAATATATATATATATATATAATTATATATATAAATATTATACAGACATAGAAAACACACATAATTAGCTTATATGTTTGAGGTGGCCTAACCCTCTATAACCACCAACCAACAGGGCTTTGAACACTGCTCAATTATTCGTTTATGTGTTATCCCTTGTCATCATCCATTGGGGTCGAAGGTGTCTAAAATGTCTAAGATGGTTGCGTATGGTCGCATAGTATGCGATGCATATATAGTTGCATAATGTTGCATAGCTCACCCTTCACCTTCCGCATTCGACATGTTCAGTAAGTCTAATCCAGTAAGTCTGGACATGTCTGGACATGGTTTCCTTGCATAGCCGCTATGAGAAAATGATAGATCATGAAGAATGACAGTACTCGCATCTTGCTTTATATAAACAATCCTGGACCTACGCGCTCTTCATCTTCTATGTTAGAGCTGTTGGAAAATCCTTGATTCAGGAACAGGTTTTGGCATGGTATGCTAGGACGCCAGCGAGGAATGATTTTAAACATTGGCTCAAGGCAGCAAAATGCGGCAAGATACCAAAACGAGGACACTTCAGAGTGGCGATGCCAGGAATGTTGCTTTGAACTTCTGCGACCTGCGCAGATCGCGTTCATTTGATTTGTGATTCTATGGGATCCACTTCGACCTGACCAACTCATGACCGAGGACAAATAATGGACAGGTCATGCTCACTTCTGAATTCTCTCCGTGTCGTAGTTACAGAAAAATAGAGGTTCTGTATGGTTTTGTTTTGGCATGTTTTGGCCCAACAATGACCCCTCAGCCGCTCCCAAGCCAACTTTTTTTGGCCCAAACATCCAAGAGGAGGCACAGGCGCAATGCAGCGCCAGGGCTCGTTTGCTGAGAGGCATTTCTGCTCTGACATGCCATCATTGCAGATCAAGAGATGCCCCGCGGACATGGAAACTCGGGTCAACATCGCGGCCACTTGGGGCTTGCCACTGACGGCACTAAACTAATCCCATCCCCCTAAGATGAAACACCCCCTAAACGGTCCCAAATACTCCCAAATATGTGTAATTGTGTAACCTACTAAGCCTTGGTTCCCAGGGGGTGCTCAATATTAGGGGGAAGGGGATTACTCTGCCTTTGCCATGCCTTTGCCCTTTGTTTACACGATATGCAGCGCAGTGTGAAAACATTGACATGCCATGAGGTAACACCACAATTGGCTCACCAATGTTTCGACCCCTCAAGCTTGCGAATTCTATCTGTAGAATTCAATGCCTCCAAAGCATAGGTTTGAAGGCACTTCTAGACAACGGATTGCGACCATTGAAGGATATCGGTGAGGTTTTCTGGGTCCAGGAAACGGCGAGCTTTAGTGTGGCAAAGCCAGACCGAATAGGCTGGAACCCCCCTTCACTGAGCAGCACTCCGACCAGCATCATACCAGATCTACCAGCAAGTAAGCCCTGAAACACGGTCATGATGGATGGAGCTGGACAAAAGCTGGATGATCATGAAACCATATGAAACACTATGGGACAATGCGGGACCTCGGAGCGCAAATGTGGTCTCCAGTCTGCTTACGCGGGTCTTGAAGCATAGCGTCTACAGTACCGTCCAAAATCTGCACTTGAAACATTGCAGCTATTTGTCAAGCTGCAGTCATTTGACGGTGAACTCAGACTCAAGCGATGCGTCGGGCGTCCCTCATGATGAAATGTATGCTTTTATCTCTGAGGGTGGAGGGCCGTTCCCAAACACACCACTTGCTGAATCAGAATATTGAATACATTGTACAAGTAGTGCCAGGTCCAGTGTATTGGTCCAGTCTAATTGCTGGTATTGAACACTGGCAGCCACCGGCAATCTTCGGCAATCTTCGGCAATTGGCCTGCTCGAAACTTCCGGCCATTTCTTCACACGAGCCTGCTAGAGCGAGGCATTTCGATCGCAGGATCAGCTTGATCCTGTTGAACCGCTGGACACTGTAGCAGTGAATTGAATGTGAAACCTCGCACGCAGTCAAACATGCGATGGCATGCAATGTGTTGACATGTGTTGACATGCTGCGCCAGGCGTACCGAGCCCCTTGAAATCTAATTATAATGTTTGACTGTGCCACTGCACCGTACGGAACACTGGGGCGACAGCATGGCTTCACAAGATTTTGCCATTGGAAACAAAGGGCTGCGCCAAGAATGGCAGAATTGGACCAACAATGGATTGAATTTGCAGACAGAAATCTAAAGCATGGGCGGGGTCAGGTTGGCTTTGGACTCTAACTCTCGATCCCTGAACAAACCTAGGCACCCATCCCCACAAGTCTTGGCTAGGCCATGGGCCAGCAACACATCTTCAAGTCATGAACATCAACCCATCCGTTTTTTCTGGCACAGCCTTCCGCTGTTCCAGGACCACCCCTGACCCCTTGCAGATGAGATCTTCCTTCGTCATGCAAGGCTTCAGCTCTGTCTGAGATCTATGCAGCTTGCTGGCTCCTTCAGCAACATTCTAGCATGGCATCAAGCCTCAACGGCAACGACCATAAACCTTCCAACATGCAGCCTCAACGGCCCTCGGCCACGGCCACAGTCTTGTCTGTCCTCTCCAGTGCTGTGAATTGGAAGCCCCTTGGGATGGAGGACAACCCATTGATAATGCAACATGTTAGAATTATGAAAATCTTACCAGCAAACTCTGAGGGTTGTTGGTTATTTATTTTTGTCATTTTTTTTGGGTCATTTTTTTGTCATTTGGTTTTTGCATTTTTTTGTCATTCCTGTTTTGTGGTGTCATGTTTTGCCATGTTTTCGTCATTTTTTTTGTCATTTGTTAAGTAATTTCGTTGCCATTTTCTTGTCATTTTGTTGTCGTTTTCTTGTCGTTTTCTACTTTCTAGCATTGTTCATTTTCTTGTCGTTTTCTCATAAGGATCAGGCAAGCGGTGAAGGTGGCAAACCCGGTCTAGGAAATGCAAAAAAATGCAAAAAATGACTCCCGGTTTGGGAAATGCAAAACAGTGCCCAAAAAATGACTCCCAGTCTGGGAAATGCAAACAAAAATGCAAAAAAAATGACTCCTAGTCTGGGAAATGCAAAAAAAATGCAAAAAAATGCGAAAAAAATGCAAAAACAAATGCAAAAAAAACGCAAAGAAAATGCCAAAAATATGCACAAAATGACTCGCGTGCTGGTAAAGTTGCGTTTTTGGAGTTTCCAGGTCGGCCCGGCTTCTCGGGCCTGAGCCGCCCCCCCCCCCGGGCCATTTCACCCCGGCCCCGGCCCCCCCCACCCGGTTTTTGAGCCGGCCCTGCACCCCGAGCCGGGAGACAACTCCTCGTCCAGGCAGGCCCAAAAACGAATTCCCCAGGGCAAGCTCCCCTGCCCTATCCTTCTTCACCGCCGGCTGGCTATCCAAGAGTTTTTGCACTTGTTCCTTGTATTTGGTGCTGCCACGAGGTAACAAAAGGTCTGTCATGGTAGTCATTTTTTAACATTTTTTTTCTCCATTTTCCCGTTCCCAAAATGACAATAAAATGACAATAAAATGACAAACAAATGACAAAAAATGACAAAGAAATGACAAAGAAATGATAAAAAAATGACAAAAAATGACAACACAAATTCAAAATGACAAACCCAAATGCAAAAAAAAATGCAACCAAAATGCAAAAAAATGACAACATAATTATTTTGGAATTTCCAATGTTTGCAGGCCCAAGATTTTCCTAATGTTAGAACACATGCCACTGTCAAAGTACCCGAGATTTGTTCTGTGAAGAGCACCCCTTCAATTTCCAACTCTCAAACCTGCGGCATTCATAGCCATCCCCTGACTGACATGAAATCAAATCAGTTACTGTAAATACTGTACTGCACAATCACCCCCGAGCCTTTTGCGTTCCGAACTCCAGGACAACAGCCTCATGCCACGTCACTGGAGCTGACCACGCATCTTCTCGACTGCTCCCGTCAACCGATCACGAAAATCTGTCCCGGTCTGGCTGTACCCAGCAATGCCCACCAGGCCCGCAATGCTCATGCGGCCCATGATCTTTCGGATGCAATGCAGCTTTGGATGCTTCTTGTTGTTCTTGAGCACGGAGGTTTGCCCAGCACGCTCCATCTCCAACAACTCAATGAGCTCTGCTGCATTCTCCTCCAGTCCCATCTGCGCCGCTTTGGCCCTCAATGGCTCCAGAACCAAAGCCAACAGCTCTCCAGCGCCTAGCTCTTGTAGCACAGTGCGCTGTTGCTTGTCAAGCTTTGGAACTCGCTCTCCATGAGGCATGTGGCAAAAGCCGCCTCAAATGGAACATTCCAGCAAAGGGCTACAGCTAAAATATGTATCGCATCTGTATGCAACTGCTGTGTTTCTACCGTTGTACTGCTGCTACCTGCCTAGCCCTACTCTTGGACTTGATTCATTTCAACACCACAAGCATGCCTCAGCCAAGGTACAATCTGCTCCCTTGGTGCAAGTACCGCAAGAAAGGTGGTAAATGCAAGGGCGTCGACACAAACCCCACTCATGACCGATGCTGCCAAGACTTGGAGGTCCTGGTTCTGCTTCTTCTGACTTCGTCGCTTCATTCTCGGCTTCAGCCACTTCTGGTTGCCGAGCCAGGAAAGTCAAATCTTTCTCAGCCATCTGCTGCGAGAGCTGACTCACATAGGCCTTGGCACCAAACTACACCACACATCAATACAAATCATGTTTTTTTTTGCTTGGCGATTTCCGAGGTACGGTCATGTCGATGACAAAATCATGCGATGCACATAGATGATCATAGATGAGCTATTCTCCCAGGAAGACAATAAAGTGATGAACATATTTGAAAATAAGACAAGTTATGATAAACTAATTACATAACAATGACAATGACACAGATGACCTCATGATGAAGACCCTCCGACTCTCTGACTCTCTGTGAAGGAGTCACTGACACCTGAAAACCTGCCGAGGCGCCTGGTATTGAACCTCCTCATCTGCAGTTGGGGCGCTGCCCAAAACTGGCAAGCTGCGGGAACGAGGCAAGGCTCCAATGGCCGGAGCCTCCACGGTGTCGATGAAGGTCAAGCGGTAGGTCAACTCAAAGGCCATGACCTCAGTATCAATTCCGCAGAACGGCGCCAAAAAAGGGTGGACATATCATATAATTTGTGTATACACTCTGGAAATGTCTGGAATCTATTTCAGGGTTCATCATGTGCAGCATCTGTAAAGGACATCAAGTGAGATGCGTTGTTTGCACATTTCAGTGTTGCCTAGCCTCACAACCGCGTCAGACACTCAATGTCAAAGTGAGCAGTTCGAGATTCTGAGCCAAAGTGCTGAGCAAAGATTATGATCCAATCTAAATAGTGGGCATATCATACCGTTTCTACCTGGGTGAGAAACAGCGAAACAACACCAGCTTCGTTCGGCCTCTGGTCACCTCTTGTCGCTTCTGGTTTCAAGCAGCTCAAGAATCCTGCGGCACTCTTGGCTGCCAAGACCTAAGGTGCACTAATTGAGCAGAGTTCGAAACCGGGGATTGTCATTCCATTCTCTCTCTTTGGTTAATAGTGATTCCCGAATGGATGATGATAATGCCCAAGCCGATATACGGTATATATATATACATGTTTGTACCTGAGACTTGAAACCAAAGAACACCTAGGGCAAACATTTGATGTAATTTGCCCTTTGCCTTCGAAATTCTCAGGGCACCCTAGGAATATTCGCTCAAAACCCCAGACAGGTTGAAACCCATTGAGATGCGTTCAAACCCGTTCAAACCCATCCTAATTTTTTTAGAAAGGCAACCATTTAGCATAGCCATACAGTGCCCGTTCAAACGTTGTATGCTTAGGCATATACATATATATATATACATACGGTAGCTACATTTAAATATACGGACTTTTCAATATACGAACAGGTATTTTAGACTACCTCCGGGAAGGTTTTCCTTGGCCCGCCCGGCCATGTAAACATACGGAATCCAGTTCATTTAAACATACGGTGAATGTATCTAAATATACGAACAGGTATTTCATATTACCTCCGGGGCCTCGCGGTCTGGCCCGCCCTCCACATATCTAAATGTCGTTACCATATATTGATATATATACCAGTAGTACCGCACAAGGCGGTGGCGGAAGTTTCAAAAATAGGAAACCTATAGGAGAGGTTGGTTGTTGTGAATCACGGATGGCAGAGCGAATCCACTGATGGACCGAAAGGTGCTTGAGGTCTCCTCTCTTTCTCCTCTCTATCTCTCTCTTTCTCTGACTATCTACCTACCTACCTACCTACCTATCTATCTATGTATCTATATATCTATCATCTATCTATCTATCTATCTCTCTCTCTCTCTCTCTGTCTCTCTCTCTCTCTTTCATCTAATTACCTATCTACCTATCTATCTATCTACCTATCTACCTATCTACCTATCTACTTATCTACCAATCTACCTATCTACCTATCTATCTATCTATCTGTCTATCCATCAATCTACCAATCAATCAATCAATCTATCTATCTATCTGTCTATCAATCAATCTATCTATCTATCTCTCTCTCTCTCTTTCATCTAATTACCTATCTACCTATCTATCTATCTACCTATCTACCTATCTACCTATCTACATATCTACTTATCTACCTATCTACCTATCTACCTATCTATCTATCTATCTATCTATCTATCTGTCTATCCATCAATCTACCAATCAATCAATCTATCTATCTATCTATCTGTCTATCAATCAATCAATCTATCTATCTATCTCTCTCTCTCTCTGTCTGTCTGTCTATCTATCTGCCTATCTGCAAGCTTGAAAACGCAGCACTTGTGCGAGACTTCCTCAATGTTGGAACTTGACAACGTCAAAAACGAAACAATTCTGCGAGACTTCCTCAATTTTTGAGCTTGACAGCATCAACAATTCTGCTAAACTTCCTCAATTTTTGAACTTGACAGCATCAACAATTCTGCGAGACTTCCTCAATTTTCAAAGTTGACAGCATCAAAAACAAGGCAATTCTGCGAGACTTCCTTCAAAAATGGAAAGTTGAGTGCAGAGCTGACGGCCTCGTAGCAATGCGTTTTGCGATTTTTCCACTCCACCTGTCAAAAGTACTGCGCCTGCCACGAAAAAGTGATGCCAGGTCATACGAAGTGCTGCACCTGTCACGCAAAATCATCTCAGCAAACCTGAAGATCTGATGCTCCAAAATGCAACCCCTCTCAGGGAATCAGCGCCCGGACCTCCTAACAGCTCTGATGAACATGTCTCTTGTAATGTCAAGTGAGGATTAATAATCCCCCCCAATTAATCAACCACCACTGCCAAAAAAAAATGGTAATTTAAAAACAGGTGGTCCCCCCTGATAAATAAATCGTTTGGCCTACCCCCGATTAATCAACCACCAGTGCTGAAATTCATTTTTTATCCAACAATTGTTATTTCCAATTCCTTTTATTTCCAATTATTTTTTACTTTTTTTTAATCATCATTGTTATACTTAAAGTTTAAGTTGATCATTGAAAATTTCAAAAAACAACTATTCCCCAAATGATCGATTTCTAATTAAAATCTTTATGAAAATCATCAGTTTGGATAGCTCCCAAAGGGTACCCCCCATGAGCCCATGTCCCCCATTAACAATAACCACGGTTTGCCCCTGATTAATCAACCCCCCTTTCTGATCCATGAGATTTAAACAAATCCAATGGAATTCTATTAAGATCTAATTGACGTAAGCCATATCCAAAGTTTTATGGTTCAGAATTTTATGGTTCAGGGTGCGTTTATTAGGGGTGGTCAAGAAAACTAGCCAGAAGGTACCTACCTACCTACCTACCTACCTGCCTGCCTGCCTGCCTACCTACCTACCTACCTGGTGGGGGGGGGGTTAATAATCCGGTGTTGGCATTACTGCGCCTGCCACGGAAAATGCATCTTTGCAGATCCTCTTTAAATGTCCCACGCCTGCCATCGTTTTTGGAAATGCTACAAAACCCTCACGTTTTGCTCACTTTTGACAAGGTGCACAATCCCGTGCACCGGCCACATGAAACGACATCTGAACGTCTAAAAGTGGTCCGAGCATGTGGTGCTTTTAACATTTTGACTTCGAAATGTGCTTCGCGCCACAACGGCGTGCACTTTTTCGACATCTCAACTTTCAAAGTGCTCCGGAGCTGAGGTGTTTTGTACATTTTGACTTGGAAACGTGCTTCGCGCCACAACGGCGTGCACTTTTTCGACATCTCAACTTCACAAAGTCTCATCTGGCCAGTGGGCTCCGCACCCGCCGCTTTAGCGAGCCTACTCTTTGACCCTCCGGAGCCACAAATCATTGGAAAAACACAGTGTTTCGCGACTTTCCTACCTTTTCGCGCACCTGGATCTGCTTTCTTCTTCTCTCCTCTTCTCTGACTCTTCCCATCTCTGCGACTCTTCCCATCTCTGCTTTTCATCTGTCCATATTGTCGGAAGTTTGACTTCTAAACTTCCTTCGCCAATACATATGATAGATAGATAGATAGATAGATATATATATATATACACGTATTATACATACATAGAAAATACACATACAATTAGCTTATATGTTTGAGGTGGCCTAACCCTCTATAACCACCAACCAACAGGGCTTTGAACACTGCTCAATTATTCGTTTATGTGTTATCCCTTGTCATCATCCATTGGGGTCGAAGGTGTCTAAAATGTCTAAGATGGTTGCGTATGGTCGCATAGTATGCGATGCATATATAGTTGCATAATGTTGCATAGCTCACCCTTCACCTTCCGCATTCGACATGTTCAGTAAGTCTAATCCAGTAAGTCTGGACATTGTCTGGACATGGTTTCCTTGCATAGCCGCTATGAGAAAATGATAGATCATGAAGAATGACAGTACTCGCATCTTGCTTTATATAAACAATCCTGGATCTACGCGCTCTTCATCTTCTATGTTAGAGCTGTTGGAAAATCCTTGATTCAGGAACAGGTTTTGGCATGGTATGCTAGGACGCCAGCGAGGAATGATTTTAAACATTGGCTCAAGGCAGCAAAATGCGGCAAGATACCAAAACGAGGACACTTCAGAGTGGCGATGCCAGGAATGTTGCTTTGAACTTCCGCGACCTGCGCAGATCGCGTTCATTTGATTTGTGATTCTATGGAATCCACTTCGACCTGACCAACTCATGACCGAGGACAAATAATGGACAGGTCATGCTCACTTCTGAATTCTCTCCGTGTCGTAGTTACAGAAAAACTAGAGGTTCTGTATGGTTTTGTTTCGGCATGTTTCGGCCCAACAATGACCCCTCAGCCGCTCCCAAGCCAACTTTTTTTGGCCCAAACATCCAAGAGGAGGCACAGGCGCAATGCAGCGCCAGGGCTCGTTTGCTGAGAGGCATTTCTGCTCTGACATGCCATCATTTCAGATCAAGAGATGCCCCGCGGACATGGAAACTCGGGTCAACATCGCGGCCACTTGGGGCTTTGCCACTGACGGCACTAAACTAATCCCATCCCCCTAAGATGAAACACCCCCTAAACGGTCCCAAATACTCCCAAATATGTGTAATTGTGTAACCATGTGTAACCTACTAAGCCTTGGTTTCGAGGGGGTGCTCAATATTAGGGGGAAGGGGATTACTCTGCCTTTGCCATGCCTTTGCCCTTTGTTTACACGATATGCAGCGCAGTGTGAAAACATTGACATGCCATGAGGTAACACCACAATTGGCTCACCAATGTTTCGACCCCTCAAGCTTGCGAATTCTATCTGTAGAATTCAATGCCTCCAAAGCATAGGTTTGAAGGCACTTCTAGACAACGGATTGCGACCATTGAAGGATATCGGTGAGGTTTTCTGGGTCCAGGAAACGGCGAGCTTTAGTGTGGCAAAGCCAGACCGAATAGGCTGGAACCCCCCTTCACTGAGCAGCACTCCGACCAGCATCATACCAGATCTACCAGCAAGTAAGCCCTGAAACACGGTCATGATGGATGGAGCTGGACAAAAGCTGGATGATCATGAAACCATATGAAACACTATGGGACAATGCGGGACCTCGGAGCGCAAATGTGGTCTCCAGT